GTTTAGGGTGTTAGGGTTAGGGTTTTGGGTTTAGGGTTTAGGAATTAAGCAATATACCTTAAGGCATATGAGGGATCCCAGTATGATTTAAGGTATATTCCTTAATTAAAGGGTATACCTTAAGTCAGATTAGGGATCCTACTATATTTAAAGGTATATTCCTTAATTCAGGAATATACCTTCAGTCAGATTAGGGATCCTACTATATTTAAAGGTATATTCCTTAATTAAAGGTTAATACCTTAAGTCAGATGAGGGATCCTACTATAATTAAAGGTATATATTCCTTAATTAAAGGATAATTGGAGTCTCTGCCTAAACCCTAAACCCTAAACCCTAAACCCTAAACCCTAAACCCTAAAACCCTAAACCCTAAACCCTAAACCCTAAACCCTAGGTAATTTGAGCTCCTGAGCTTCCCCCCAGTGAGCCAATGAAGGGATATTGGAGTCTCTGGAGGCTTTCCAAAGCGGCACTCATTCGCTCCCTGGCTGGCGAGGGCGGTCTTCTTGTGGATGACAACTACGCAAAGAACATCTTCGATGCACGTAGCCAAGACGCTTTGCTGGCATTTCGGGTTTTAGGGTTTAGGGTTTAGGGTTTAGGATCCTTTCAAGGGTCCTCTTTACGATCTTCCAGACGTACCTGTTCAGAACCATTTTTGGGGGGCCCGAAAAACTATGATGATGACAATGGCGAGGCTGCACAACAGCTTAAACGCCACCATACAGCGCGTCAACCGTCTTAAGTTACCATGATAAGGAAGCCATGTTATGTACTATGGATCCCTACTATGGTAACTTAAACTATATACATTCCAAACACAAGAGCCCAGTGCCCGGTGCAACCCAGGATGTCATGTATCTTCACGTGGATCCTGAAGGTGTTCTGAACACGAGCTCTGCCGTGCAAGACTTGGCAGAGATGCTTGCTGCAAAAGTGGCTAAACCCTAAACCCCTAAACCCCTAAGCCCAAAACCCTGAACCCTTCTTTGTCTTTGCTGCTTTGCACCAGATTTCAGTCCAAGCCCTGGCCAAACCCCAGACCCTGACCCTAAACCCCAAACTCCCCAAACCCTAAAGCCCAAAGTCCCCCAACCCTAGACCCCAAAATCCCCAAACAAAATCACCCAAATCCTCAAAACCCCAAGACGTCGAAATCCCCAAACCTCCAAACGCCCCAAACCCTCAACCTCAAACTCGAAATCCGGCTTGACATCCACGACCCGGTGAGCCCTCTAACCCAGAGACTCCAATATCCCTTAATTAAGGAATATACCTTAAATCATATTAGGGATCCTACTATAATGTAAGGTATATTCCTTAATTAAGGGGTATTGGAGTCTCTGGGAACTCCGCCAGACCCCCAGGCTTTCACGGAACTCCTTTTGGGACTCCAGGCTTCAGAACAACCCCCCCCCCCTCCCCCCTAGTTTAGGGGTTTAGGGGTTTAGGGGTTTAGGGGTTTAGGGGTTTAGGGTTTAGGGTTAGGGGGTTTAGGGCTTTCTGGGAGTTTAGGGTATCTGTCAGGGCTTAGGGTTCTGATGCTTGAAATCCTGCATTACCCATAGTAAGGAATAGGCCATAATTCCCATAGTTCAGGGTCCTTAAGGTAATGCAGGATTGATATCATCAACAGTAGTAGTAGGGTGGGTTTAGGGTACTCTGAGAGGTTCTATAAGGGTCCTAGATAAGGGCTCTGTAGGGTGGTTTTAGAAGGGCAAGAGAGCAAACTCTAGGTTGTCCAGTAGTTCCCTTTTGCAAGTTGTTCCTTTTGGGGTTTCCTGTTTAACGCCAAATAGCGGGAACGAGAGTGCTCCTCATCAGTAAGGGGCTACTGGGGAACCTAGAAAGACATGCGTTTGGGGTTTAGGGGACCGCCAGGGCGATTTACAGGGGCCTGATTACTTCAGTGCTCTTAAGAATTAAATTGCTAAAACTAGTCTTTTATTATGGTTCTAAGGGTGCACAAGGAATAAGTTGTAGAAGAATTTCCTGGTTTCCCTGTTGTACCTATGCTAGAGTAAGCTTCATTTTTTACTTCTGAGGTAGTCTTAGGCCGCTATAGACAACACCCGATAACATCTCATAACACCGTGTTAAGCGCCTGTACAACCCTACGTATTCCAGTTAGCCCGGCCTGAAACCCAAACCCTAAGCCCTTAAACCCTAAACCCGACACCGCTAATTACGGCTTCTAGATTCAACGCAGGAGCAGCAGCGAACGAAGGGGCTGGCGATGTTCGACCTCCGTGAAGACTGCACCACCAAGGCCGGTTCCGGTGTCCTGGGGTTCGTGGGTTTAAGTTTCGTTTAATTAGGACGTTGCATAAGAGCTAATAATTAGTTTGTACTAATGTACCATGTAGAACCAAAGCTCGTTATACTGACTAGTATGCATTATTATAGTTTAAACTAGTTAGTACTTATGAATACTAACTAAAACTTGTGAATACTTGTAACAGCAACAATACTAGGGATAATAAAAACAGAAAAGTAACAGTGAAAGTACTTGTATTAGTACTACTAGCAGTACTATAGTCCTATGTGATAAGTCCAGCCCTGGTCCATCCCTCCATGCGCACAGACACAGTCCGCTTGCGCAGGCCCCGTGCACTGCTCGGGGCCATGCCCCTGCCCGTGCGCACGCGGACCCGCTCACAGGCCAGGTGTGCACAAAGCCCGCCCACAGGCACGTGCAGGGGCGTGCGCGCTCAGACCCCATGCGCCCCCCCGCCCCCCCAGCCCCATATGTGCGCGCACAGGCACAGATCCACCTTCCTGCTCCCTTGCGCAGGCCGCGAGCACACGCCATGCGCACCATAGGCAGTCGCGCGCGCACAAGTTTAGCATTGCGCACACCGAGCCAGCGCAGCAAAGGTGTGTGCACACACTCCCTGCGTACCATGACGGCGGACATGCGTGCGCGCGTGCACACGTGGTAGCACAGCCCACTCTGCGCGCACAGACCCTGTTCGTACACAGAAAAACTGCGTGTACACTTTTTCGATCAGGATCATCCGCCCTGCGCACACAACACCTGCGTGCCAGCCTGCGCATGCAGTACCCCTGTGCGCGTTCGCGCCCGTGCTTGTGAGTGCACACATATCCCTGCATCCGCATGCACGCAGCCCCNNCCCCCCCCCCCCCACACGCGAGCCGTCGAGTTTGGTGGCAAGACGCTCTACAGCAGTGTTGTGAGTTTTGCAACATGCAGCATACATGGTGCTTGTTTGTACGTGTTCGTGCTGCCGGCATACTTCAACCGGAATCAGACTCAGATCAGGAAAAACATGCACAATCATGCACATAAGTGCGTAGAAAGATGCGTGCACAAACGAAAGAAAGGCGACAGTTTGACGACTTGAGGCAAAGAGCCGCTTCATAGCTTTGTTTATGACAGTTCGACGAGTTGAGGTAGTTGTATAGACTTAGGAGCCTGTAGGGCCTGCAGGGATCGCAGGTGTTCTTGCTCAGGCCTCTCGAACCTGTTTCTTGCGGTCCTTCCCAGCTCTCCACCAAACCCAACTGGAGGAGGCAGTCCCCAAACCTTTGGCCAACCTGCTCTCGCAGGCTCGCTTCTGCACAGTGTGCATGACGGTCAGACAGGAGGGCCATGCTCACAAACGCCTCACAGAGCACGACTTGCGCATCTTGACAGATGACGAGAAGGCCGACCTTGCTCGGTGGTGGCAGCAGGAGCAAAGATGGGTCAGGAGGCCAAAATGAGGAGGCTAGCACAAGACCGCCAAGAGGAGATGCGCCGCCGACAGGAGGCTTCGCAGGCCGTGTCCCAGGTCTTTCGCATGGACTTCGGCAAACACAAAGGGGCGTCACCCTGGATGCAGTGGATCGCAAGGATGCGAAGTATTTGTGCGTTCTGGTCCAGCAGAAGGTCGTCTATCAACAACCACAATACCCATTAGAGCTGAATCGGTTGCAGGGGTGAACCTGGCCCCTGCGTTT